CATAAAAGCCATAATCATAAAAGTGGCAGCTTTCGGTATGTATTTACTTTCTGTATAATATTGTCTACTGAAACTTCCCATGGACAAATCCACAACATAGCAGAGAAAAATAGAAATTTTGGTCTATATTTTAGGATTTGAAATGTTAATATGAAGAAAAATAAAAAAACAAACAAACAAAAATCAACAAACAACCAACCAAAAAAACCCCAAAACTGAGCAAAAAAAGAAAGAACACCAAAAAAAAAACCCCTGGAAAAAATACTAGCTGCATAACGGTCATGATGTCTGAATAATCAGTTTACCTGTATGCAATTAATTCATAGAGAAGACATGGAAAAGCCGGAAAGTAGTTCTTCCTAGCATAGTTCTTTTCCTTTTGTAATGTATTTGTTCTAGTTTGGTTTTGATTTGCAGTAAAGATGCATGCATAATTCAGTGGTTCGCAGTATTGTCATTTATAGATGATGCAGACTGGTGGCTAGACAATATTATAAAGCAACCGTGAAAGTTTTAAGAGAAATACAGCGAATTAACATCAAACAAGAGTAATTATATGAGGCCAGAACATTTTGTGTAATGACAGTCTTTTAAGTTGGTGAAGCATATAGCAAACAGAAATAGTTCATCGTAGCCTTCCAAAAAAATGGTATTTGCAATGTAGTTGTTTAGTATACAAGAAAATCTACCTGTCCTTTCATTGTCAAATAGTAAAATGAGGTTGGAATAATGAAACAACATGAAAGGTAACATTTGTTGTTTGAATATAAAGATAAGGTGAAATAAAGTTTTATAGGAAAGCTTGTTGAATGACCCTAAGAAGTGCATGAGAGACATGTATATTCATTTCAGGCCTCTATGCAGTTTTTTATTCGAGAGTTTTGAATGAGATCTTAAGCATAAAGTGTGACCAAAGGACCTTTTCTTTTCGGGTTGACTAAAGATTTGCAGTCCATTGTACCAAAGAACAGCTAGTATAATAGAAGAGCAACAGTGGTATTGGTGATTTAAAGATGTGTGTTTAAAGAATAGTTGTATAATATTGCACTAGAAGTCCGATGGCTGATCTATCTGGGCAACTTTCACGTCAAATTCCTAATGTCCATCTTCTTTAAAGAATGCTTTATAACAAATTAGTTTCTCCTTAAATATTAACAAAGTGTTAAATTATAATCCCTTTAGACTGGATGAATTTACTGACCGTTTTTTTCCCATTAATATTTATTTATTTATTTATTTTTCCTCTTTAGCTGGTGTACATTCTAACTAGTTTTAACATCCCTATGAAGGTCTTGCTGTACTGTTCTCTAGGATCTGCTAGGGCTGCTAGTGGGATTAGAGTGATTAGAAATGTTACATTCCCTCATTCACTTGTAGGTAAGCAATGTAATTTAATAGTATTTTCCTGAATATTGGAAGGCTAGTTACAAATACAGAGGAGTTGAATGCTGTGTTTTCTACTATAAAGCACTACTTTTTAAAAATTTCTTTTTTTTATTTTTAACTCAAAAAAAAAAAATGTTTTTTAAAGGAATAGTTTTCAGGCTGTGTAAATAAAATGCTTTCATTGCTTATGCTGACATGAAGAAAAAATAAGTCCACAAAGAATATATAACATGCTTTTTCACATCAGAATTATTTTTTAAAGAAAATGTTTGATTTAAATAATAGATAAAACTATTTCACAAGTAGACATCATTGATGACCTGTCTTATGCCTGAAGCAAGATAAGCATGTCTTTTCTATTCTACAGTCTTAAAAAATCTTAAGATGCACTAGTTAATGCACAAAGAGTACTTTGTGGGCTATTCATTGAAGAAGTGAATACCATAAATACTTGTAGATAGCAATTAGATAGAAAATCACTCCAAGGTGTTTTGTTTTTTGTTTTTTGGGTTTTTTTTTTTTTTGGCTACAGGTAAAAGAAAGATCTTATCAGAGTCAATTTCTCGCCTGCCTCGGGCAGGCGTAATTAGATGTAAGCAAATTTAATAGAGCTTTTGTGCTCTGGGGCCCTTCTGTAATGCTTTAATAATTGCATGCCTTATTAAAGTGGATTTAAGGTATGAAGGCTGTTTAACATATCAAGTGACAAAGAAGATAAGATACAGTTTAACTTTTTGCCTCTTAGATTAATAATCAAAGCTAAACTGCAATGAAAATATTTAAAATAGCAGATTTAAGAGTCTGAAGAGTAACACATCAGATAGTACATTGTACAGATGTTAGAGCAAGAAGCAGATCTGTAACCTGAGCTTGACATTCATCAGCACTGGCATACGTGTACACCCGCCTTGTCCTGTTTTCCATTAACTCAGTGCCAGTATTGACAAGGTAAAAGCCTGTCATTTTATGTAGAAAACACATAATTATGAAAGTAAATGAGCATTGGTTTAGTACATTTCCCCTAAATCCACCATTACAAATTAATACCATAAACTTCGCCAGTGGCAAGAGTTTTCTATCTCAGAGAAGTGTGCTTTTCCAAATGGGATACCAATTGCTCTCACTTATACACAGAAGTATTGTCAGCAAGCCTTCTTCACATGCATTCTGTTGATCTGTAAGTAGACCTGCTTGCTTTCCTTTAGTGGATTTCAGAGGCTTTCATGATGATAGAAAAACATTCCATGACCTAGCAGCAAATCTGAGCTATTAAAGAAAAAAAAAAAAAAAGGCTGCTTATGCATATTTATCTTCAATGTCATTTTCTTTCTGCTAAAGATGCCTGTTTCATGCATTATATTTTTATATTTGAAATATACCCCTCTTCACTGGAAATCCCAGAAAATCACAGTAAAGTTACTCAGTAATACTTAAAATAGAAGTAGCTGTTGATTGTTTTTAACATGTGCATGCCTGGAATTCCAGTAATATCACTGCTCATGTGAGACAGTATAGGATAGTACTGTGTAATATGACACAGATGCTGTAATATAACACAATAATATGGTTTTTATATCCTTGTCCTCTGAACACATTTTATGGATTAAAATACTAATTAACTTGCAAAGTATGCATTTAACAGATTCAGCTTTTCATCTTGGTAACTTTATTTACTGGCCTTACTTGTGCTGCCGTTATAATGCATATTTCTTCCACAGTAGCACAAGGTGTAATACTCAGAAGTGAGAGGAGGAAGGTTACATTTGGAAACAGTCTTTGGGTTCCTCACAGTATATCCTCAGTAAAAATTGAGCATTGAGTTTTACTTAGTTTACTTGTATAGTTAACTATACCTAAATCTTGTTAAGAATTAAATCTTAAGCACTAACCAGTATACATTTTAAAATATGAGAAACTTCTGTTCTCATATATATGAAAACATAGCTGAAATTGGGTTTATGTCATGCAGTTAAAGCATTTTATTCTCAGTGATTCTAGTTTTTCTTGAACTTTTAAGAGTAACATTCACTTTCAGTAAGTTTTACAAGTGCACATTGTTAGCTTAAGAAAATGGGGGGGGGAGGGGGAATTGCTTCTTCAATGTTTTAGTCAAAATCAGAATATAAGCTCAAATTTCTGTCTTTTATGGGATTAATATGCATTATTTACTTCATACATTGCAGCTTCATCCCAGTTTGGTTATAGTGACTTTATGATTTATTACTGAATTTAATACCTGAAAAAACATTATAATTATTATATCAGGTAACAGAAATACTAATTTTAAATAGAAAAACCTTTTCATGTTTAATTATGTTTCTAACTTCCAGCTGCTCTTTGGACCACAGCAGAGAAATGATACTATAAGGCAGTTCAGCTGCTGGACAATAAAAAAACCTGAACTTTGTATCAGGGCTGATTAGCTTGTGGTTCTCAGCCTACATTTGAAGTGGAGCCACATCTATGTTTTGTAGGTCCTGCTACAATAAATGATTCCGGACAATCTACATGCTTGGCTGTGGGTAGAGTTAGAATCAAAAGGTCTGTAAAAGCCTAAATTTTGAGATGGTGTGGCCTTAGTTGCTTACCCAGGCTATTTCCCTCCAACAATGGAGTAATGAGTCCTTAGGGAGCTATTGCCATCTCCTGTCTGTCAACAAATCCTAAAGTTCCTTCTCTAAAATAAGCTGTCTGAAGTAAGTATATTTAACTTGAGTTTCCTTTGCTGTGAGAAGATCTTGATGCTTGCCTCAGAAGGTCAAGAACATTGGTATACTCCTGCTACACATAGAATTCTCTGAAAAGATGGTAGTTTAGGGAATAATATGTTTTTGTATATGAGCTTTTAACTTAGAATGTTGCTTCTCAGTATAATGAAATTGGTACTTGGAGCTTTTGTTTGTTATTTAAACCTAACTACCTAGGTGTCTGCATTATTGTTTATTATTTGCATACCAGTAGTGTACATAAGTGAAATCCTGACTGACTGAAATTGATAGTCAGACTCCCATTAATTTTTGTGTAAGTAAGATTTACGTATAAAGTAGTACATTAAAAAAAACTAGCACCACACAGTTCCTGGTTAAACTCCTGAACCCAGAACAGGGTGTAATTGAGTGTTACAGATAGATCAACCTCTTGGATGCAGTTTTTCCTTCCCCCTTCTATCTGACTCTTCCAAACCACAAGTCTCTACATGCTTCCACCCCTGTAACAGGTCCTATGATTGTGTAGCTGCAGCTGGGTAAGGCAGCACAGAAGCACCACTTTTTTGTATGTTCTGGCAACTTTCTGTGTAGATGCCATGGCCATATGGAGGACAAAACTATCTCTTTCAGTAGAAAGCTTACCATTCAATTGGGCTGGCTGTAAGGTCAGATCATATCCAAAAGTAAAATTGTTGGTTGTGTAAGTTTTGTCTGAGCACATCATCTGTGCAGTGGAAGCAAACAGTGTTCTTGGAGAATCATAGAATCATAGAAAGGTCTGGGTGGGAAAGGATCTGAAGATCATCTAGTTCCACCCCCCCTGCCATGAGCAGGGACACCTCGCACTAAACCATGTCACCCAAGACTCCATCCAACCTGTCCTTGAACACTATCAGGGATGGAGCATTCACACTTCCTTGGGCAACCCTCAAGGAGTTGCC